CAGGGTTTGAACCTCAGCTCTCGGCATACACAGTAAGGCTCAGCCTAATTCCAAAACTCTTTCGAGCAAACATCGGCATGCTGGCATGCCGACCATTAATCTTCCATTTTTGGAATCAAGCAGAATATTAGAGCTTGGCACACGTATCCAGAGGCGCTGGGAGCCCGCCATCTCTTGGATAAACTCGACTTCTGGACATATGAAGAGGAGAGAGAACTTGAGAGATGTCGCGAGGGAGAAGCGAGGCGAGCCCAAATAAGCCCAGACATAATGACAAGAGATCGTATGTATCGTGATCAGATGATGGATCCAGCACATGGGGGTTGTCTAGGGTGGGCTGGTTCAGAGTCGGTGATATCGCTATTGAAATACTCCAGAAACATTGTTGTCGGGTACAATCACAGCTGCAGAGTTCTGGGAGTGGTTGTGATTCCGATGTTGAGCCTTTTCACACTATTGATTAGTAAGGTCATCCCCTAGCATAACGAAGTACTGCAATGGGCCAAAGGCTTGCCGGACGGAACCAAATTTGGAGTAGGCGGGATTGGTCAAAGAAGGATCAAGTGTCGAGAAGAGACTTGTGGTTCGGCAGGTGCAGCACTTTCGGGCCAATACAGATGAAAAGTTGATGGTGAGTCCTTGCAAAAATGATATTTGTCCTTACATGTGTTGTTTCTAACTTGAATTTCTGTAGTCCTTCAAACGGATTCCGTGAGCTGCGCTCTCGAAACAGGCAAAATGGTTGCAGCAGGACGCAGCCTCAGGCCAGCGCCCAACAACTGCGCAGCTTTCAAGTTGACTCCTCGCAAAATTCTGCTCTGTCCAGCATCCATCTGGCACTTCAAAGTCTGACTGGTAGCATGATTCTTATCACGAAGAGATTTCTTGTTTTTGAGACGATGTTTCTGCCGGTCCCATGCTACGTTGCCCTACGTAGCGATATCGCATTATGCTAGCTTATCAAGCCGAGGATTTGCCTACGGCTGAGAAGAACCGTATAAATGCTTTAGCAGTTCCAAGATCGGGGGCAGTTACACCTAGCCGTAGATGCTGACGACGGGTCGTCTCTTCACCAGGAGGGGATGGGGTTTTCCGGTCGTATTCCTTTCCCATGGCACTAAGACATTATCTAGGTACGGTACCAGAACTTAAGGGAGGATTTCACAACAGGTAGAAGGTGAAGGAAGCAACTGTAACCATTACAGGACATTATTGAATAGTACCATGTTGGTTCTTCGTCGTCTTCGGGACATGCTTACCTTGTGCACGAGCCTCGTTGACCTCTCTGCGTTCCTCTGTGGTAACCGTTGGCTTGTGAATGTAGTGAGACACAACAGAGGAAACCTGACCAAAGCAAGATCAAAGCCAGGACAACGGAGAGTTTGTTGCTCCGAGGCCGGTCTTGCAAAATATACAATAGCCATCTCTGGGCTCACCCTTTAGTACTATACAAGAATTTGCTAAAACAGGAAGGATTTGCGATAAGAAGAACCCCGGAGATCGTGCGTAGCTTCGTGTTCAGGCATAACGCTAATTTTGTACAAAGAGGACAACGGTACATCACCAAGGTATCAACACTAAATGGAAACCGTCCGTCACACAGCCTCATCTCCAAAATCTCGTTGTCCCTTGAAACGCAAGCACATCTACAAAAGAAGTAGCAAAGAGAGTAACAAGCTAGCCCTGGGGAAATGACCGTTGCCCACTTTGGTATTACCCTTCTCTCATATTTTGTCTATCGAACAATCTGGAAGATAGGTTAATTTGCTATTTCAACAAATGGCATTTTGCCTAGGAAAAGCCTGACGTAACTCGACAGAATGAAAGGCCCTGTTTCTCGCGCAAGTGCTCCTGTCAAAGCGTTTGTTGTGTGGGTACTTGCTTAATATCAATGTCTCAGCATAGCTGAATGCATCGCCACCCGGCGTGTTCGACCAAAAAATGTAGTGCTAGCACATTACTGTCCTAGCGACTTGGGCTCAGCTTCAAGAAAGAATTTCTCCAGTACCTATATTAAACTTGTAGAAGCTTCGCACCTCTATTATCACCATCATACGATTCTTTCTGGCTATATATTTCGGCGTTCTGAAACGAGAAATATATGCCGCTGGAGTGTGGTCCTTAAATTCCATAGACTTACTTACCAGTTCGCCTGCCCCTTCGAGGTATTGTGGATTAAGCTATCAGTAACGCCCCTCCGAATACAATATCTAGTAACCCAAAAGCCGGGGGCACAGGCAAAAATCGACGATCGTTGAGACAACCGTTCAAATGCCCGACTAGAGGGTGACCACGCTGGCGAACTTCCTTCAAACAAGTCGGGCAATATCTTGGCTTCCTCGGTGACAAGAACGAGCACGGCTCATTCCTGTGACCAAAACATTGTGGTGCTCGGACCAGAGTCTCGTGTGTACGTGAGTACATCTGATACTGAGTCCTTGAAGGGACGCGGCGAGAGATGGTGAGGGTTTTAATATACGAGACTGAAAGGCTCTTAACCTTGTTCTAATGCAAGCCATAAACTTACAAGTTGTCGCGAAGGGACCACGTTCGTTGCCTCCGACCTTGTGGTGCAAGAGAATAGGGCCTTCGGCCTGGGCTCCCACATCCCCTGTGGCAAATAATATTGTGGCGTTTCGTTGCCTGGTTATTAAGACGTCTGCGGCCTGGAATGCCAAGTTGAACACGAAACTGGCGCCCTCTTATAAAGGCCAAGGAGACATGGAGCAAGGATTATTTTTGATGACTTCTCAATCTTTGGCAACTGGGACCGACTTCGGCAGTGGCCTTACATAGCGCCTTCCAATGACATCGCGAAAGTCTAAGCCTCAGGCAGCACCGCAAGCTTAGATGACCAACTCACTGATTGCTTGGCCACGCGCCAAACCAATGGGACGGTTGTTTTGCTCCAGTCAAGTGATCACGTACATCGATGGCTGTTGCTGTCTCAACGAGAAACCAATCCCTTCCCTTCTTCATGCTAGGCAAGGCAACCAAATTTTCTTTGCCCCTCCCCTGCCCCTTGGCCATCGACCCCAGTGTGTAGATGCTCTGCCTTGAGCCGTGTCTGCCTCGCAGAGGTCGTTGGGCAGAGCCACAGCGAGGTTTCCTGGAAGGATTGGTTGGACGACCACTCTCATGAGCTGGCCAGATGAAATGATTGCCCCCTCCCGCCCGCTTCTGTGCTTACACATATCAAGGGGATTGCTGTTTTCCTCTTGATGTGTCACTCCGGTCACAGCATATTTCTCAGAATCGCGAAATTCAGAACCACTCGAGTTAAGGTTATCTATTCGACAACATGGCTTCTATCATCCACATACTATGCATCCTCATTGGTCTCCTTGGGGTGTTTGCCGACATCCTCACGGACAGAGGTTATACTGCCTCTGGCCAACCAGGCCAACAGCTTATTCATGCACAGGGGTTCTGCGATGATGGCGGAGATTCCGGTGGCAACCGAGAATTGATTCGGCAAGAGCTCGTCACGAATGCTATGACAGTTGTAACACGCTTCACGCAAAGCTACAGCGCCTGGAAGGACCCTTGTGAAGGGTGCTGTCCCCACCCGGTCCCTGGCTGTCCTAAAGGTTGCTGTGCAATGTACAATGTCTCCTCCTGCGCCGCCAAAGAGCTAGGGAAACTCATTGGAATTTTGGACGAGCTTGATCGCGAAAGAAATCGATGTTGCGCCTGAATCTGTGATTGTCTGGGCGTCCTCAGATGTTAAGGGGAAGGATGCTCGAAATATGCTATCATGATCTGTGCTGCATGGTCCAGGGTGAGGGTGAGATGAAGAAAGCTAGAGGGAAGCCTGCTGCAAACGAGATGTGGACGCTGGGTGTGGTGAGGTCGCAAAAAGAATCCGGTTCTTCAAATTAACGTCAAGGATCATGTATACTTTGGTTTCGCTCGGTGGGAATTTTGCCACGGCAGGTGGGGTACTGGGTATGGACTAGGAATTAGGTGCCCAAGGGAACGGAATGAATGTCCTGGTCTCAGAGGACGTTAATGATGTACTGCGCGAATTGTTAGGCCTTAATGGACATATGGGATTGGCAGCCACAAACTTTGGGGGATGAGAAGGAACCAATGTTTGCTAGCTACTAGCATGCCGAGGAAAATGATCTCCTTGTGGTATTATTTTATCGCGGCGAGACGTAGGTGGAGCCCTCATACGTACTAATCACCTGTTGTAAAGGCATCTAATACTAAGTGTCTTCACAGTGGAGGGTTTGTAAATTGGATTTAACTACTAACTAGTTCCTACATGTGCATTTTTCGAATAAATATGATGCAACGTTGAGTTCTTTCCCACCATAGGGTGCTGTAAGGAGTTGGCAAAGGGCTCTGCAACTACCAATAGTAGCTATACTACTAGTACCTGGTAATAAAGAGGACAAATCTAAAAGGCGAGGAGCCAGAGTATAGCACGCAGAGGTCTATATACTACTACTTCCGGGAAGGCTGATCCCCCCTGTACTTCGCTATAAGGGTAACTAAGGCATTCTAATAGTGCCTTCAATAGTTCCTAATAGTTCATGATTCTCAGTGGGCCCCCGTACGGCTTCCATATGTCCATTCCTCAAAATGGACATCTGCAATCATACTCGAGACGTAAGGACAGACCATACTATTGCATACATAGTTGCGTGTACGTCACGTGTTTTAATCATCGTAACAACCGCTGTGGCGAGAGTGGTATTGGCCGCTAGCTGCAGTGGTTCCATAGAACCGAGCCTCTCTTAGGTTCAACCCATCATAGGTGCTATCTAGACAGCCTTTACATGGACAATTGAGTGCATCTACTATTCCTGCATCTGTTGCCACTCTTCGACGTCATTGTCTTGGTTGCAACTGCCCCATCCTTTCCAAGACCAATTCATCGACTATTTCAAGGTGCTGCTCGTAGTCTTTATACATACTAGTATTATTTGATCAACAGTTAGGCGAATCGTTTACAAAGGGAGGCTAATGGTTTGCAATGAGAACTCTTTCATTTAGTTTTCGCCAGCCCCGCTGCCGTGAAACCTAGATCTAGCTTCCACGGCCCACTTTTTAAACCGCAAATCGTTTCCAAAACCCACCCGTACAGTGTCGTCCTCCATGATCCCTCTCCTAGAAGTCCCAGCGGCCGACTCTTCGAGTTGTGCTAAGAAGCCCTGTTCTGCAAGTCCAGATAGACTGATCCTTGAGACCGCGCTTTGTATATGACCGGCCCGCGAAGTTTCGGCGGCGAGGGTCGCGAGCGTGACTCCAGCAACGGGGTACATCAGACAGCAAAGAAGCAGCCAAACCAAGGATGGAATCCAGATTTTCACCACTAACCGTGGTGTACGATCCTGTTGTAGAATATTTGATCGAGGAGATGTAACACCGCCAACTATGCTCATAACTTCCGCCGAGAACAGATTTGCCCAAGTACGACAAAACTCGGTTGTGTTTAGTTGCATTGCGGCTTGAGACAGAATATCGAGCAATGTTGGATTGGTGCCGGAAACTGAGGCGGGTGTGCGGTAGCCGTGGTAGAGTTCAGAAATGGTGCCATTGTCAATTTTTTTGAGGCGAACATTTTGAACGGTGCCGTTGAACCAGGTATATTCAACATCAAGTGCCTGGTACCGACATCTAATGACAATGTCCAGAAGCAATTCGGTGCCCTTGAAAAAGTTGGGATCGCCGCCCAACTCGCTGTTAGCTCGTAGAGCACTTGTGGGAACTCTTCCTGCAACCGCTACCCATACCTCGTTGACAAGTTTGTCATCTGGCAGTAAAGGGATAGAAGTGTTTGATTTGCCGGTGTTGAGATCGTACGCACGCGTATTATAAGGAATCCCCAGAGCCTCGTCCTCAAAGAACGCAATCCTAGCAAGGGTCAGAAAAGAAAGAGGCACGGACTGATAGGATGGCTTACTGTAAGTTCGGACTGAGTTTGGAGGCCAAAGGGGGAATGTCTGGATCGTCCGTCGTCGTCGAATCGTTGGCAATGATGGCTGTCTTGCCTAAGACTCCGTAGAAATAAGGACTGCAGTAGAAACCGCTATAGGCATCATTCGTTCCCCAAACACCGAATTGACATTTGTCCGTGATTGGTTTGCAGGAAGTCGAGATTCCAATAGTTGACGCGCGGTAATCGACAAACGGAGACAATGTAGTCGACTTTGGAATCAGCATTGCGGTGTCTTCTAACGCCAAACCTTGCGCGGGGGCCAGCCGAATCTCGGAAGTTTCAGATGTATTGTGCCGTAGATAGAACATCTCGTTCTGCTCCTGTAAATATGCATTGGGATTCGACGCGGATAAGCCGATGTTACGCGAGCATGGGTAGCCAGCATTATCAATGCGGTTTATTTGCAAACATCTCCCAGAAAGCCCGCGACCTGACTCCCCCAGCTGTTTTGACACTGAGACATCATCTAAATTGACTGTGCTTGTTGCATAATGCAGGACAGTATCGGCAACCAACACGGAGCCAGAGAGAAACAGTGCCAAGTAAAATACGAGCCCGGCTCGAGTTAGCACTGGTGAAATAGGTGTTTTGTTTGGGATCTTCCGTCGCCGGAACTGGCGATATGTGAAGTAATCCCACAAGGCACCCAACGATGAAATACAAAGTCCAACCAGCAAGCTGAGCTGATAGGGATTTGGCAGTTTTGTTGCTTCCACCTCCGAAGACAACAACAGCAGAGATCGTGTAGCTCTCCAAGTCCAGAGCGTCATCAAGGGTCCAGCAAGTAGGCCGGCCACTTGGGAGGCTCGAGAGGAAATAAAAACCACCCATGCTAATAAGATGATCAGCGTGCATCTTTAGCCATTTCGCAGGGACTCTCACTTGCGGGGATGCTCAGCAATACGTGTGTCGGTCGTTGCATAGTAGTATCTCTTGGCCCTTGCACTTGTGAGAACAGGCTGCGTTCGGACCGCACTCTATATTTGATCACAAGGAAAACAAATATAATTGGGATAACGAGCATCGGCAAGAAAATCAAGATCAAGGATATCCAAATCTCTTTGAGCACTTTTCGTTTGTGACCGGTCCGGCTTGAAATATGATGAGGCTGCGACGGTGAGGCAGTCACAGATCTCGGAAGTCCATCTGTGCCTTCTTCTTCGCTGGAAACCTCAGACCTGTAGACTGCATTACACAATGGGGAACACTGATGGGGTGGATAGGGGTAGTATTTGTTATGAGCACTTCCTCGATCAACTTCCTGAGCACTGCTAGTATCCGTCACACTGGTAGAAGCACTTGGGCTCGTGAATCGACATCGTATCATTGGATATTCTTGATCTCCATCAGGCTCATTTCGAAGGTTTTCTGCTGATTGGATCAGATTTAACTGTCTTTCATTGCCAGTGAAACGGTTGAAGATCGGCAAGGAAAATCTTTCAATGCGGCTGGAAGGCTCCATATCCATAATCTTTTCCTCCCAGGAACGAGAGAAAGTGCACTTGATCCACGCAAACGCTAAATTCGTCAGTTTTTGCAGTGGGGGGACCAGCATGATGGGTACGCATTATGACCTGCATTAAATAGTATTTAGGTACAGGTTTCTTGTCAGCCTGTTCAGGTGACCGCTGCCGGCGCACGGTTCAAAAATCTGATAGCGCCTTTGAAAGAGGCAACCGTCTAATTAGTAGTAGTGGTTCGGTACTTCCCGGTTGGCTCTGCATGTAACGTCTAGGGTGACGAGTATTTGCCACAAGGAGAGAGCGCGAACCAAGCTCTTCAAGTTTGTAGGGGCCCCGGAAGAGCTATGCGTGTCTCAGGCTGAGTCCTTTTCCAGTGGCCCCCAAAAGCCTTTACTATGTAGCTTGATCCTGAAAGCCAATCCTACCGCACACCGATGCCCTCTGGAGGCCTCTTAGAGAGCCACTTCATTGTGTGCTGCAGTTGATTGCACAGGAAACACTGCTGGGCACTGAATACCTACTACCACACAAATGCGGATCAACGACGGTCAGGGCAGATGCTTAGAGGAGGATAGGCCTGCAGTGCGGATGGAGTGGCCTTTTTGCGCCACTGAAAATACGGCAGGCTGATTTGGATGCCTTGCGAAATGCAGGTGGGTGTTTGACGTTAGGCGGACTGGGAAAGGGAGGGGGTGGTGTCTTGGCATTTGGGCCGCTTGGCCTGTTCTTGCTCACGGACCTAGAGCATTTCCGTTGTAGGTTGGAGATGAGATGGGTCTAGAGTGATTTCCCTGTCCGCGACCTGGAGCACTCGAGAGACTGGCCGGAGAAGTTGATTATGTCACCTGAGTTCGCCGCCCCATCACTTCATTTACGGAGGAGACCAAATATCTTCTTAACGCTGCCGTACCAAAGTTCTTCAGCGAAAACGCCAAGAAATCCCCGCTTAATGAACCTATGGCTGGGCCAATATACTATGAAGTAGTACCTCTGAACCCCTCGTGATCATCTTTCAGGAAGGTTCGAATCTTTTTCAAAGTTACGCAGGCGGAAGCAGGGTGGACTATTGATAGTGCGAGTTTTCTTTTCTACGGCGAGATCACTAGTAGGACACTCGACAGATTACAGAATAGGACATTTAGGATAGACAGAACAGTTGACTAGTAGGTCAACAGATTTCACATGCAGGACTCGGGAGTCCTAGCAGGATCCGGCGAGTCGCTCTCATTCCTAAATGTTTATAGTGTAACAAGGCGGCGTGGCTGTGCTGGGCTGGTGGTGGACTGGCAAGGCAGAGGTCTGTCAGGTCACATGTCAAACCTAATTAGATCGCTGGGAGAAGGACAGTTGACAGTGCTATCAGAGGGCCAATTTTTTGGACAGTTTTAGCAGAGGATCATGAATTCGCTCTTTTGGCACAGTCTACCTAATTCCTGAGTGCTTTATCAGTTCTGTCCTGTTCCCCGATGCCTCCGCTGTGCTAGGTGTTCGTAGCCCTAGTCGCTGCCCTTCTGGGTGGTGATTGTGGTGGTGTTGTCTTGTCAGCATCAACCAGAAAAGCGTTCTCGATTCCCGATCTGCTGGACAGGCCTCTGTGCGTTGTTGCACGTGCATGTCGAACCCTGAAGTGCTCTGTTACAATAGGAGGGCCAGACTGGTTTATATGTTCAGAGAAGGCGGTTGGGGAATAGACGAATTAATAGAAGTATTTAGCAGGAATATCCTTCGTAAACTCAGCGAATATACAGAGAATCAAAGCCTTGAAGAGGGTTTGAGTAGAAATGGGGGAGAGCGTGTGGTCCTTATACGTTCCTCCCCCGTTAGCGTCTCAGCCTCTTTGCTGTGTTTGTTCTGTAGGGCTCTAGGATAGTTATAGGTATCCTAATACTATAGAGAAGATGACCTAGTACTACTAGGTACATAGGCAGCTACTTTTCGTAGAGAAATTATAACTTAAGATTACTCGTATTCGGGCATCATTCAGCACATGTTAACGCATCACGAAATTCGCCGGAATTGGAAAGAGCTCTATGCATAATCGTGGCTCTCCTACTAAGCATTTAAAGTTTGAGTCTAAATTTAGGCCTCCCCACCTATAAATGGCTTCATCCTAGTTTCGACTCAGTATCTTGTGTGATCAATCACGGATCGATTCATATCTGATATGCTCCCATCCCGAATCATGGCCTTAATCTTGTAGCCTCAGTCCGCGATTCGTACGCGATCGTGGTCCAACGGACTCAATATTCGTGTCACGAACCAACCGTTGCCCCCAAGTACCCTTCGCTATCCACCCGAATTGAAGCATAAGCTAAGGAGAGCTAAAGCACGAGGCTATCAGTTGACAAGGCTATCGGTTAACGTCGCCTTACCCTTTTCACCTAACAGAAAAGAAAGGAAGCTATAAGAGTTTCCTCTCACCCGATTGGTGAGACAGAACTCTTCTTCTTTAACCGTTGAGTCATTGTTAATAGGACTACGTGATATAGAATAAGGCATCTAGCTCCTCTAATTCTCTGTACCTACTAGTACAGCATTGCGTAGGTCCCTAATAATTCGCCTGTCATTTCATACTAGTAGTACTTCTAGTAGTACTATCTAAGATCAATCCTAGGACACATTTTACTTACTAGTACCTCTCCTAACCGCGGAAACATTACATCTGAATAAGCTAAAAGGGACATCACTTCTCCTCCATTATTTCCCTACGAAGGGAAATTCAAAGATATATTGTAACAGAGCACTGGCACTTCAGGGTTCAGCGTGCACGTGCAACAACGCACAGAGAGGCCTGTTCAGCAGGTCGGGAATCGAGAACGCGTTTCTGGTTGGCACTGACAAGACAACACCACCAACACCACCCAGAGGGGCAGCGGCTAGGGCTACGAACACCTAGCACAGCGGCAGCATTAAGGACTGGAAAGACTGATAAAACACTCAGGAATTAGGTAGATGGCACCAAAAAGCCATGAAAATCATGATACTCTCTCAAACTGTAAAGAATGGCTCTCTGCCAGCACTGTGAACTGTTCCGCTCTCCCCTCTGCCAGCCCATTTTGGTTTGACATGCCTTTACTACCACTCCACCAGCCCTGCACAGTTAGTACTGCACAGCCACTTTGCCTTGTTACAATATTAATTAGCAAAAACAATCAACAGTTAGGATTCCCAAGTGGTCACCCACCTTAGTACTAACTAACCGGCATGTGGCTTAAGTATGGCTGAGCGAACGGGAAGCCCTGTTTTCCACATCCTATGGTCGATTGCGGGAGTGTTTATGAGAAAATTCTCTATATAATACGTTGACGGTTTCGTAGCTAGAATTCTTCTTGCGCGAGAAGTGAGTTTTCGTCACCCTCACTATGAGAACGCATATCGGATACTTACTACTAGCACTACTAGTATATTAAGAATACAGACAATAGAATCCTTCAATTATCTTCGCTAGTATCTCTAGCAGATCCTTCTTCACTACCGCAAAGTTCAACCTTAATTAGTAGTACGAACGAAATCTCCCCGATATCAAAGAATGTTCTCAAAATAAAACATTAAACCTTCAAGTTCTTTATTACTATAGGAGAATCTTCTCCATAGTAACTACTAACCTTCCTAACCTCACCTAACCAGCAGGTGGTGCTAGCAGCTATTCGACGATCTCCCGCGTACTCGGTACAGGAAGTCTGTCGTCCCCTGAGACGTACCTGCAGCCCACTGAGCGGTCTTACCCACCATCTTGCTTCGAGTAGTTAGTAGTATCTTGCAAATTACCCCAAGTCGGAAGGGTATCATGATGACTAGTTTCTTGGAAGTACTAGTAATACATACAGTATACAGGGTATGGAATGGACTGAAGCCTAATTACTACTAGTATGTACTAGTACGGAGTGACTCCGGTCATCCACTGCCTCGGCGTTTCGACCCTAACGTGGTTGCCCAAAAGCCAGGATCGAAGTCTCATCCTTTGCATCACTCGTAATACTAGCATCGACGACAAGATCTTACAGGCAGTTTACAAGCAATGGCTCCTTCAGTCGGACAATTCGCAAGCACATCGTGGAAGCCGGGATTATTCGGTATGTACCAACGGCCTTTATCAATCTTCAAGTCTACTAATCTACTAATCTCCGCCTGTTCCCTTGCCACATATACGTGCAGATAACAAGGTGTTATTCTGTACTGGCGGGTCCGGGAGCATCTGCTCGGGCCAAGTGCGAGCCCTTGTCGCGCTGGGCGCCAACGCCTGTATCGTCGGGCGTAATCACGACAAGGCCAAAAACGTCGCCGCTGACATTGCGCTCGTGCGGCCTGGTAGCACCGTGCTGGGTCTCGGAGGGGTGGATGTGAGGAATCATGAAAGTGTTAAAGAGGCGGTTGACACTTGTGTGCAACGCTTAGGCGGGATTGATTTTGTCATGTGGGTTGTTGCAATTTCTCTTCACCCTTCAAATCATCTCTGTGTTGCTCTGGACACATCCTGGCTGGCGGCACCGACTAAGTATAATACACCGTGGTACAGAGCTGGAGCAGCTGGTAACTTCGTCTCGACCATCGACGACCTATCAGTGAACGCGTTCAAGGCAGTGGTCGACATTGACCTTGTGGGCTCTTTCATAACGGCAAAGTTGACTCTGCCGCACCTCGCCGCTTCCGCAGAACGAGCAAGGACAAACAAGGATTTGGGTAAGTGCTAACTGACCCTGATGAAGGACGGCGCCGAGACATTTTCTGAACTGGTCTTCTTCCTTTCGTCTAGACTCGTCGAGCCTGACCGGCGGCCGAATCATTTTCGTGAGCTCGACAAACTACCAATGTGCTCGAATCGCACAGGCCCATGTCTGCGCGGCCAAGGCCGGCGTCAACGCCCTCTCGGACTGCATCTCTCTCGAGTACGGGCCGAGAGGAGTAACCTCCAATGTGATCGCGCCGGGCCTGATTGACGACACCGAGGGCGCCAGGCGCTTGACGGACCCGACTCTTCGAAACGACCTTATCAGGAGCGTCCCCGTCCAGCGGCTGGGGTTGATCAAGGACATTTCTGACGCCACAATCTTCCTGTTTGCCGATACTGGAAGTTTTGTCAATGGCGCGACCATCGACGTCGACGGTGGCGCCTGGCGCATCAGGGCAGCGGGCGCTGGCCCCAACTACCCAAGCTTGCCCTCTCGGGCGCACCAAGTGAAACTTGGCGGGAGCTCGAAGTTGTAGATGCTACCCATCATGTACGGTACTGGCTGGCTGCTTTGCAACGATCTGACTCTGAAGAATAGTACTACTAGTAGTACATAGTACCCCTATGAATCATGTTCCAGCTGTACCAGCAGGGAAAAGCCATGAAAATCGGGCCGATGCGAGATAAAATGCATCTCCGAATCAATAAGAGTGGTATTGTTCGTTCGCCTCGGGGATCCTCCACAGATATGTGCTTCGTGCTCTGTAGTACTATTGCTACCAACGTGGGATTGGAAAGAAGTCCTCTGTTCGTACGTACCAGGAAAAAGGGGCATCTCACGGGGCATTCGTTATTCATTCCAGGATAGAGTTTTGCTCGATTTTGCTAGGTACTAGTACTAGAATAAGACACCATACAAGAAAATCTGTCGCCTACAGTCTGACACTTTCGAGCTTGCTTACGGTCTCTCCTAGAGCGTAGTCACAGTCGGCTTTCTTGCTCCGGACCTTCCTCGCCTGCGCCGGCGTGACCCATTTAGCCTCCACCGCAGGATTATAGCCCAGGCCGCTGAGGCGGGCAATTTCCTCGTCGGGCACGGCGCGGTCGGTGTTGGCTTTGCCGTCGGCCCGAGTGTACACAGTGACGACGCAGGCTCCTCCGAGGCCCAGGTTGTGTTGCAGGGCGTACTTGGTGTTGTTGACCAGGCGGCCGTTGTTGGCCCATCCGCGAAGTTGCCAGGTCAGTTCGGCGCACTGAGCCAGCCCCGTGGCTCCCAGTGGGTGTCCCTTTGAGATCAGGCCTCCGGAAGGATTAATGATCGGGCCCTTCCCACCGTAGGTGATATCGCCGTTTCGAACCATCAAGTGAGCTTTACCCTCGTCGCAAAATCCCAGTCCTTCCAGTGTAATTAGCTCGTTGGTGGAGAAGCAGTCGTGCAACTCGCACACTTTGACGTCCTTGGGCCCAATACCAGCGTCCGCATATGCCGCTTTGGCTGCGCGTCCTGTGGTGGAAAACCCTACTAGCTCCATCGCGCTACCAGAGTACAGATTTGGAGTGTCGGTTTTGAGGGCTTGTCCGGCGATGAGGATTGCGTGTGATTTGAGCTCTGGTCGAAGGTCGAGAAATCTCTGTGACACGACCACGGCCGCCGCGGCTCCATCTGAAGTGGGTGAGCATTGGAGCTTGGTAATAGGGTAATGGATCATTGGCGAGTCCATGATTTGCTTCAGTGTATAGACATCTCGGAACTGTGCATACGGATTCCGCGAGGAGTGTTCATGCGAGATACGGGCAATCTCTCCAAAGTCTTCAGCAGAAGCGCCATATCTAAGAAAGGGTAAAACAGTTAGAGTATGTAAACAAAGTCTAGAGATACTCGCGATCAATCACTTACTTCTCCATGTACTCTCTGCCGGCATTTCCGAACATCTGTGGGTTCTTCGGTGACTGGGCTTCCCCTCTGGTCTTGTTCATTAATTTCACGCTGAGGTCTTGAGGATTAGGACCATCCGAAGAACCGCCGCCGAGAGCACCAGGCTTCATCTGCTCGAATCCAATGACCAGGACACAGTCGTAGACGCCGCCTTTCACAAAGTTCCGTGCCATGTGAAGTCCTGTCGAGCCTGTAGCACAGGCGTTGTTTGTGTTGTAGATTGGAATGTCTGACATGCCGAATTGGTAGAAAGCTCGCTGCCCACTACAGCTAGGCAATGTGCAGAAGCAGCCGACGCCTGCCTCGACGTCGTCGTAAGTCACATTGGCGTCCAGCATGGCCTTGACCCCGGCTTCGAAGGCAAGCTCAGTGTATGCGCGGAGTCGCCGGGGTTTGAGGAAGGCACTCATGCCAACCCCCAGAACGTAAGCATTTCCGGCCATGGTGTACAAATGTGACAGGTGAAGTAGGAACGGGCTTCAGGACGAATGTTGGTTCGAATTCGACAAAGATGACAGGTTGTAGCGCAGAGGGCACCCTGCGTTATAAAACGTACCAACCTCCCCAATCCACCTAGTACGAGGACCGAGGTATGCTCACTCGCTTACTCTCGAACCCCGCACTCCAGCTATCCTGAATCTGGTACAGCTTATTGGAGGGTGAGAACCAGCTACATTTTGCAGTGGTGTGTGCCTCGAAACTCGGTGAACATGCCTCGGCCCGAGAACCCAGTGCCTGTAAGACCAGACACCCAGGCGTGCGAAGGATATATGAATAAGTCAGACACATTCTCTATCCCTGCGTTGACGGGGGATAGTAGCGAATAGTGCCATAAGTTCAGAAGACAACTTATGAGTTTTGGATGTCCCGAAGGCTTTGCGCAGGTATTGCCAATATAAACGACAGGACCTATGGTAGGGGTGAATGATGTCGTGCCAGTAGATTACTAACCAAAGCTTACAAGGCTATAAGGGTCTGTAATGTTTTCCCAGATCGTCACAAGTTGTATGGCTCTTGCAATAAATACCCGTTGCCCCTGCTGAATTGAATACTTGTCTTTACCATATTACCAAGTATAGTTTCCCACATCCAGATACCCATCCCTATACAACATTCTCGACGAGCACCTGCTTGGTTTTGATCGGGCCAATTCCAATCAACCAGGTGATTTGCTTCCATCTGTAGGGCCATCGAGATGTTGTTCAGCCCATCCAGGTCAAGGGGCGAACGCCACAGTAGGTCGCTGCCGTGGCTCATGTTGCCCCTCCAGGTGTGAACCAGTAGCAGATCCCCTAGGAGTTACGAATCTCAGTTCCGTTTCTGCTGGACCTTTTCGTTGCACCCGTAGGATTCGCCGTAGCCATGCCGAAAAACCTTGGCCGCTGCTCTGGCCTGTGCCCGAAGTTCGAAATAGACTCGTCATAGTTCGGACAGTTTGAGTTGCGAGCTTATCTAATTCCCCTGAAGGCGTGACAGCTTCCACAAGTCCTCTCTCCTCAATGATGCCGGTGTCATAGTTCACAGTACAATGGATGTCAAATCCGATATGCCTTCTATCCTCATCGTCGGTGTAGTGACCAAACAAGAATCTGTCGCCCTCGACAAGGATGCGGGCCTCCATGATGTCTTTCGATGGGGTGCGCCTTCTGTCCGCAATGTCAAGATAATTCCTCTGAAGAAAGTAGGACTTGTGGCACATTGCCATTAGATCTGCCATACTGTAACATTGGCGAGGTAGAAGTCGTTTTTGGATAGGGTAGGCGAACGGCATTCCAACACTCCATGCACTTAGAAAGACCATGATACCGATATAGGCCGATAGTGAAAAGCCGAAGAAGACTTTGTCACCCTGATCCTCAAGCTGGAGGAGGCCACCGATGAATATTGGGAAGAGCGGGGAGAGGGTATTCAAGATTGAGAATGCCGCGACTTTATAGTGGCCCTTCTCGATTGCCGTGATAGGTACCTGGAATGGAGATGTGGTGATGTATGCCAGTAGAACTGTATCCGCAGCGGGCCCCGCTTTTCCAAACATGTTGATAAATGGTTGCATGAATCGCATGTTCAGGTCCACCCACTCAACAATCGTAGACGTGAAGACACCAGCAAGATACACCGGAGCTGAACGGAACAATAATGCATACACGACAAGCTTTGACTCTGGATCCGTAGGATCAATTGGCGGCAAGTGTAATGTGTAATTGCCAGCAGAGACCGACATATTTGATGGCATGCTCAAGTTTTTTTGAAGATGGAATCCATGGAAAACTATGCCATTGACCAGTCCGTAGATGGCAAGAGCGAATCCTGCCCAGACCAGGACTACCGACAAAACGACCCAACCCTTTCCGCACCCAGGACTATGTCGATAGGGATAGTGCTCACAGTCTGGCCATGTTCCTTGATTGCAGTGTGGTTGTGTGTCGTCGGCACGGTGCTTGGCGCAATCGTCGACCGGGCTAGGTCCTTTTTTAACTCCAATCAACCGATCATACCAGCTGGGTTCGAACGGCGTTGGTGCGCGAGCTGTCGGTCGGTAAGCACTTGTCCATATAAATAAATCCACACAATGTACCTGCTTGCTTCCACGTAGTGCCAATGCCATACACCAAAACATATCTCTCGGGCGGCCCGGGAATGAGCTTTTCTCAGTAACCCAGTCGAAATCGATGATTCTTCGACAGGACTTGTTTTGCCTTGCGGTTGTGGAGCAATTCAAGGGATGAGAAGTATTCTGCAACATTACAATTTGCAAACAAAGCACAGTAATCAGCAATGGTAACAGGGTCCCACCTGAGACCAGTCGACTTTCGGCGGTTGAGGTAAGCGACCCAAAGCACATAACCGGTCATGATAATATGTCCGATGATGAGGAAGAGAGCTGGCCATACACGAAGTGTCAGAGTCCAACCCGTAGTTTGAATTTCTTGCTCGCCGATCTGTTTAATGGCAGGACCGCTGGCTAGCAGCGCGACCTTCAAGCTAACGATGAATCCAACCATAAGTTGACAAAGAAGGGAGATGATCGGGGTCGTTCCTCGGGTGACGGAGATGTCCTGCCATGGAAAGAAAGCTCCACTGACACTTTTGTTGGCATCCTGTCCAGAGCTCGGCTGCTCGCCCTGGTCCGCCATTGCCACAAAGGGTTTCATTCTGATAAATTCGCGAACAAGGTGACGAAACAGAATGACGTTGAGAGTACCCAACGCAGAGGGGAAGTAGCGGGATATCATGCGAACGTTTTCGCTCGACAAGTGGTATTGCCCATTGGTCCCAGCTGCGAGCCAGAGTGCCGCAATTGCACCGGCCGTGCCAAGATATAATACAGTCAAGAAGAGCGTCGAATACCATTTCAAAATGGGCGGCCAGAAGTCCAATGGCGCCAAACGCCTGTCACTGACGTCTGGAACGGCAGTCAATTCGACTACCCAAAGCCAAAAATTAGCCCAAAATCTTAAAGACACAAGGATAAGTGGATGGCTGACCCGAAGGAGACCTTGGCAAGTTGGGTCGATCTTCCACCAAGTTATTGTTTCGAGAGAGAAAGACAATTCCGTGGTCAGCCGATAGGTCGGTATTATTTGGCAAGAGGGACACTTGGGAACGGCTGCCAAGGTTGGAATAAGGAGAAGGCTCGCGCGAGGACGTGGACAGATATGAGGCTGGACCAGGCCGCAGCTCTGGTCTCGCGGGTAGCTCCCAGGGACCGTCCATTGTTCAGACGGCTGTAAAATGGACGTCGATGTCAGAGTCTTGATACACATGTAACAAAAACTGGGAATATGGAAGATTGAAGCGAGGAGCGATGGATGGGGGTTTTACGGTTGTAGAAAGACCTCTGTGAGAGGGGAAGCCGATTTCCCAGGCCGAGTCGATAGTGGAGGGAGGAGGTTTCTTGACAAGGAAAGTCCCTGCAAGAGAATGGTTATCTGACAAACAGCGGCGTGAGCTCGCCCAATGGAACATGGTCTGGAAGCAAGCCACATGCATGATTAGCCTCAGCCTGATGTAAGGTATTCTCGTCACAGATTGCAAAAGGGGCGACAGAGCGCCCTGTACGATGAAGTTGAGCGAGCTGAAGTCGCGCAGACTCGTGCATTGGGCGGCATGGTCCGCCTTTCGTGGAAATCGTGATTTGAATTCCTACTTCTTTTGGGGAACTTTTGGGTTCAGGCTGAAGATACGTCATTGTGCAGTGCGGCTGAAGATACCACACTCGGTGCCGTTGGTGTATGGGTTTCAGAAAATGGGGTGGAGAAATCCCCGTTGCCTGCTAGAGAGCGTTTGAAAGACCACTTGTGGGCTGGCCACACTGCGAGAAATGATTCGAGGAGGACATCAAAGCCGATTTGCCCAAACACGGATTACCTTTTTTTGATCGTAGTAACCTGGTTCAAGGGACGCCTTTTTATAGTGCTTTTCTGGCTAGATTATTTGTCCCCTGCTCCTACTTGTAGCTGGCAGCGTATCTGGACAGCATATGCTCTTCAACTGTAAATACTTTACCCTGGGAACCATCAAGAGGCTGGATGATACAATCTGCGTTGCCGTCCAAGAAGAAAGGTATAGAGTATCTGTCAGTCCCAGAAGTGTTGATGACTCGATGTATGTTGCTTTTGTATGTGCCGCTCGTCCAGGCTTCTAGCATGTCTCCGACATTGACCACATATGCGTGTTCTTGAGGTGGCACGTCGATCCATTCTTTGGTGAATTGGTTTAAGACCTGCAGACCGGAATGGCCATCTTGGAGCAATAGGGTGATGGCTCCGAAGTCTGTATGCGCACCAGCGCCCACCAAAGTTGCATCGTCGGATTTGGGGTGTGGAGGGTAATGGAGAAGACGGATTGCAGCAATTGGATCTCGACAGAAATCTTCGAACACGCTTGTATCGAAATTGTTCAAACCTCGGGCCAAGATCTGCATGAGCAGAAACGAAAGGTCCGACAAAGCTTGGTGATATTCTAGCAAGGGCTGTTTAAATTCCGGCTCTGGAATTTGATTGGGCCAGATGTTTGCTTCTTGAAAAGGTCTGAATGGGGGCTTGTTGCCAGGGATCTCGCGGCCAACAAAGTATCCCTCAAGAGGTATTAGCTTGAAAGTTGAAATTGATGAGGTCGACTTAGGGCCGCAATATACCTCTTTCAGGTCGGGCTTCTTGCCATCCTCCAATGTCTGGGTACCAATAATCTCGTACCCACGCCCTGGTTTTCCACTGAGACCGCGCTTCTCATCCTCTGGTAGACGAAACAGCGCCTTCGCCGCAGCAAAAACCCGCTCTTGGAGTGATTCTCGAACGCCGTGTCCAGTGATCTGGAAGAAACCGCTGGTCGTGCAAGCAGCACGAATTTGTGCCACAATATTCTCAGCCTCGGGAGAATCTGGGTTGTTTAGATAGGCTGTCAGGTCAACGGTTGGGATTGTGAACGCAGACTGTCCGTTCCTGTTGGTGATAGCCATAGCCACCTGCAGAAACACAGATCACGGTACTCGTCCTGAGAAGCAAAACTGAGTTGGAAAATTGAGATAGATGCAACATTGATGGAAAAGGTACCCAGGTACGAGGTAATCGTACAAGCCACTTTAGAATCAAAGCCTGGCCGATCGGAAGGCTCCGTTATCTCGTTAATTGTACTCCGTAAATGGAAAGGCCGCGGAATTTGTAAGCATTTTCATTGGCTGCCGTTGGTGCGTTATCGTGCGAAATGGTCATCGCCGTACGCCTAACCTGCCCTTTCCGGCTTGTTGCTTCAACAATGTCAAGTACGCCGAGACCTCGTGGAATATTACTGTGTCAGACAAATACATAACATTACAATACCACTCAGCATAAAAGCAAAGATTTTCCCCTGCACTTCAGACTTCCCCTTTGAATCTGCAACATTTGGTCTTCTTTCAACACAGCTGTTTGATCGAAATACATTAAGGTCGCCTATGGCCATATGAAATGACGAAGGTTTCTGCCCTTCCTTCTCTCAAGGGCTGCAGGGTGCCCATCATGTCGAGTTGCAAAGACCAAACTCAGCAGCTGATGGCAACCGCGGTCAAGGCTTCAACAAGATGGCGCTACGCCGTTGACTATAGATTGGTTCATAATCACCACCTCCGCTTCATGCCATTCTATCTCTCAAATCCGGAGGTGTCCAGGTGGAACATATCCAAGATCCTTCCCACAGTCTGGTTCACCACGGCGTCTAGCGTCTCAGGCTCTGTATAAAAGGCCGGAACTGGTGGAATTATAATGGTCCCATTGCGGCTAAGGCCTGTCATATTCTCTAGGTGAATGGTACTCAAGTGGGTCTCACGTATAACAAGGACGAGGCGTCGTCGTTCCTTCAAGACGACATCGGCTGCTCGAGAAATGAGATGATCTGCGTACCCTATCCGGACAGCTGCCAAAGACTTCATGCTGCATGGTACAATAACCATACCGTTTGTTTCGAATGAACCGCTTGATGTTGGTGCTGATACGTCTTTTATCGAATAGTTGTGCGTTGCCAGCGCTCGTATGTCCGACGGAGTGTATTTGTCTGTTTCGTATTTGAGTGTTTCTGCCTACTTGCTCATGATCAAATGTGTTTCGACGTCCAACTTGCGAAGAGCTTCGAGGGTCCGAGCTCCTATAATAGAGCCTGTGGCACCCGTCACGCCAACGGTTATCCTCCGTTTCCTGGGTTGTGGATCTCCTCGATTAGGGCTCTCGTGCAAAAGCGATGGACTGGACGAGAAGTTGCGTCCTTGTCCAGAAGGTGATGACCTAGAACATACTCCAGGATTGGTGTGAAAGGGCCCGACCGAGAAACGCAGTATGGGATCACAAAATGACTCTACTCTACTTGCGAGAGTAGCGTTGAGAAACATTTTTCGGTCGACTGGAAGAGCTCTGTAAGAGACACAGTTCGGGAAGAAAAAAGTTGCCGTGATAATAAAAGAAGCGGAACAGGACTACTGGGTTTGTAGTAGAAATCCTGAAACTGCATGCTGAGACATAGCATCGACAGTGCCTACTCAAAGCCTCTCGGACCTCGCTGCTTTCATCCTTGTTTTCATTGCCGCATACCCGATGCGGATCCCCGTTAGCTGTAGCTCTTCAAATAAATGATCTGCGCATCAGCGAGCTTATGCTGGACTAAGGATCACTAAATAGTGCGAAATGCGAAAAGAGATGACGGAGACTTTTGTAAGGGGTCAGCTTCACCGTTCCCCCACATGATTTATATGTATCATTCAAAGGGTCACGTAGCAGATTGTCTATGAGGAATCCGTTGGCACCAGGACTTCGCAAAACCTGTGGCACCGGAGTTTCCTGGTAGTTCGTACCCTCAAGGCTATCCTGGATGCCGTTCCTTCTCCTCCTTTCTCCGTGTTCTTTTTATCCACTTTTTTTGTAGCACTAAAACGTGATGGCCACAACCCTTACGGCTCAGCTGCCTCGACAGAGATTGACGGCCTCTTCGAGATCTCATACACTGAGCGGTTTGATCGGCCTTCGGCGACAAAGTTCCATCAACGCTGCCCCTCATTTGAATTTTCGAAACTATGTGGAAGTGCTTCGCAAAGATGGTGATCTAGCAGACGTGCACGACGAAGTGGATACCGATCTAGAGCTCTCTGCTCTTACTCGTCGTGCTTTGGAAACCCGCGACAAGGCACCCCTTGTTCACAATGTGAAGGGTGCTCGTGGCGGCCTATTTAGGGTGATGGGAGCTCCTGCTTCGCTACAGAAGAAGGAGACCGAGCGATTTGGACGACTGGCTAGACATGTTGGTCAGGAACCGACGGCTACAAGGTCAGAAATCTTCGACAAGATTCTCGGTGCCAGCAATTTGAAACCGATCCCACCCCTTTAGGTTGCCGACGGCCCCTACACAGGGAATAAGCCTTTTGGGGATGACATTGATCTCAACAGAATGCCAGTTCCTCAAATGCACAGGTTCGACGGCGGCAAGTATCTGCAGACATATACTGCATGCATGTTTTGCAGACTCCAGATAAGAAATGGACCAACTGGTCTATTTCACGGGCCATGGTTCACGACAAGACGCGCCTGAGCGGCCTCGTCATGCCTCCCCAACACGTTGGACGGATCTTTTCCCAATGGCAGAAAAAGGGAGAGGATATTCCATGGGCAATGGCACTTGGAGCACCACCTGCAGCAATCCTAGCATCTGGTATCGCTGTTCCTGAAGGAGTATCCGAAGCGGACTATGTCGGTGCAATGAGCGGTGTCCCATTCGAGGTGGTCAAATGTGAGACAAACGATTTATGCGTCCCGGCCAACTCGGAGATTGTAATGGAGGGAACAATATCTATTTCGGAAAAGGGCCCAGAAGGGCCTTTTGGGGAATTTCACGGTTACACTTTTATCGAATCTCCAAAACAAAGGCCATTGTTCTCAGTCAAGGCTGTAACCTACAGGAACGACGCCATCCTTTCAATACGTGCTCCAGGCAGACCCTTTGATGAGACTCTAAGGACTTTCCCTCTCATTCAATCGTAGAGGTGCCGTGGCTCACCTTTTGTCTATAGCATACTCTCGCACGCGCGTTCGTTGGTGCTTGATTCGACAACGACTACAAGAGGCAGGTCTCCCAGTCAAGGAGGTTTTCACGCCTTATGAGACCCAGACACCGTGGGCAGCGGTGCAAATTGACGGCAAACAACTTGGAGCCATGAAGACTAACCCGAAGGAACTTTGCAATCGCATCGGAGATGCCATTTTCTCCGACAAGACCGGCATATTTGAGCATCACATCCTCGTCGTGTCGGATGACATCGACATCTACAACTTTAAAGACGTCATATAGGCGTACGCAACAAGATGCCGGCCAGGAGTAGATAATTACTTACTTCCACAACACCCTTGGCCTTCCCTTGGTGCCTTATCAGTCTCAGGGCGAGGGTCCACCGGACGTTGTATCTAAGATAGTGTCCAACTGTCTCTTGCCGGTCGAATACACGACTGGGCCTAATTCGGAGGTCGATGACTTTGAGCATGGCTTTCCCGAGCATATCAACTTGATGGTGCTTGCGAATCGGTCCAAGCTAGATAGCTAAGAATTGCTGGTGTGTAGCAGATGCCGAAATAGGTGACTCCGACGAGTCATCGAATAGCCAAAATGGCTAGATGTCTTTTTCAGAATTGCCTTTCCGTCTTGTTACTACAATCACCTACGCGCTCGGTCTAGACTGTTACCCGAGATATTCGGTTGTCCGATCAGCCAATCAACGATCTCCGACGGTCCAGTGTGGGCGCAATAGTTGGTATGAGGGACTAAGCCTAGCTAATTAGAGCTGTCCGATGCAATATCAATGCATCCCGTTAAGGCAATTTCTGTGACGTTAGCTTTCGGCAGGCGCCCTAATTCCCCGTCTGAGATTCGTATGTGCAAAAAGACCGGAATATCGGAAACGAAAGGATGGCTACTGTGGGATGGGTGCTGTCAGTGGTTGGGGTGCAACGAGCTTCGGCTTTAAGGGCGTAGACGCAGACATCGCTACATCGACGCGGACTGGTTCGACTGCAGGGTGCCCTACCACATTAGGCAATCGGCACCCTGGCCTCTGCATATAGCCACTTTCTATCTGTCAGACTCGATACATTTCCTGGCATGGATAGGTGATCCTCTGAAAGGTGCGATGCAACGAGTCCCGGCGTATGGAATGCACTAATGGGGTACGTTAAGTTTGTGAATAGACATGGGTCCGTTGGAAAGGTGTGAAACCAATGGAAAGATTATCCGGTATGGAAGTTTGAGGAGAATAGGTCCAGCGGAACACAGACACAAGAATATATAAGTACCATACATGAAGCCATCGATGAACCCAGACTCGCCATGTAACACCGACCACAAAAACTTCACTTGTGTTTCTTGGACTCCTCTTATACCCAACATGATTTCCATCATCCCGGCCCCTCTTGCTGGCCGCGTGGCTATCATTACCGGAGCATCTTGGGGGATAGGAGCAGCAGTGGCGATCGACTTTGCACGGAGGGGTTGCTCGCATATTGCCATCACATATTTGGGTAATATTGACGCAGCGAAGAAAGTGCTCTCATCCATCAACGAGATATGCCCGGATATCAAAACAGCCCTTATCAGAGCAGACGTCACCTCGGAAATGTTCGGACAGGACGCCGTCAAGGCGGCTCTCAGCTCTCTTTCCGTGAACCACATTGATATAGTGGTGTCCAATGCTGCTCTGTCGGACATGAATATACCGCAGAACATGGAGACGCATACCAAGGATGCGTCCGACCGGTTCATGACCGCGAATGTGTGGAGTCCGTTTCAATTATCGCTCGCTGCCATTCCATATATGACAAAAGGAGAAAGGATCATCACAATCTCCAGCGTAGCCAGCAAGCGTCCAAATGTGAGTTTACCCTTAACCAGCCATTTCGGTTCCTGGTTTGGTCCTATGGCCAGCTTTAACCAGGGAAAGTGACATACATCATATTCTTCCCCCTTCAGGTGTTTCGGCTTCAAACTGACTGGTGTCCTCGGCTTCATGATTCTAGGTCAACCCCATGGTGATCTTGGGCGCGACAAGGCGGCATCGGACTCCATCACACGAGTCCTTGCGGCAGCCTATCTACACCAAACGGGGATTACGATCAACAGCGTCGCAGTGGGTCCAACAAACACTGACGCTTTGCGTACGGGTATGGCAAAATTACCTAAGGAATGGACAGAAGCGTTGTATGCAAGAGCAACGGCCGAAAGACGCATTACCGAGGTGCATGATGTTACTGATGTTGTGAGTTGGTTGGCGGGACCGGACAGCAAATTGGTGAATGGCAACTTCGTGCCTTGTAGTGGAGGCAGTATGCTGGAGCTACAAGGGTGATTTGGGCTTTGTTAGAAAGTCATGTTGGTTGCGCTGCATCATTGCCAGAAGGTGGTTTTGGTCGTTACTTTTCATGGCCAAGAAAGATATCTAGATGCTACTGTTAAGCCAGAAATGGTCTCTCTGGGGTCCGCCTTCAGTTCCGTTACATTGTCGCCAAGGTCTTGCTAAATAGAGAAGCTCTGTCTCGTACTCAAGCCTCTCATTGTTGCAGTCATGACTTCCTCCCTAGTGCTTTTGTCCAAACTTTGAACTTCCAATTCTCGAGCATGTACCCGTCTCCATACCGACCATGTTCCACAAAGTTTTCCACCCATTCGGCCTTCGTATCGATCGTCGCTTTCGCAATCCACCACGTCTGCGTTATGAAGAGACCAGAGGACAATGATTGGTTTGCACTGCGAGCACGCCCTCGTCGTTGAGCGACTTTCTCGGCCAGGTCCTGACATTGTACCTCAAAATAACGAAACCTGGCTGGTGAGAGGGCAAAAATAAGCCTAGATGCCAGGATCATGCACGAGAGGTAAGTTCCGTATAGTTGGACATGCTGCAGAATATTGGAACATGGTCGACAATCAAGGTAGTTGAAGGTATCATATGCATTTATATTGTCGAAGATGGCGAGTTCCGCTCTATACTTCCGATACCAGCTTACGAGGACTTCCCGAAAGCGGAGAGTATGATCTATGAAGTCTGCAATAGTAGACTTGAGGACCGGATGCTCCGAGGAGATCAACTCTTCTGCAAATTTGAATATGTCCGGAAGCGACACGACGTGTGTCCAGAGCGACATTGTGAAATTTATTGTCCCGCTAAAGAGTTGAGAGGTCTGTAGCGAAGAGCATAGGACTCTTTGTCAACCTTCCTCGGTCAGGAAGCATTGTGTGCCGGTCATGAGGGATTGGGTTACGTAAAGTCAGTCCTAATCAGTAATTTCTATTCTGCAAATATTTCCTTGCTAAGTGCCACGAACCAAGGGACCAATGTGTGCTAATAGGATCGCTTTGTCAAATGCCTCGTCAAAACCGATCGGGATCTCGGTATTCGATAAGCCGTGCGACACCTCCAGCATGTTGTATCCATCCGAAGCTTCTGCCAGTGTGAAGCAACTTGAATAACATCGTTAGTCGAGTAAATCCATCATCGCTGTTATGATAGGACAACATTATCATTACCTCGAATATACCTTATAATGCAGCGGCACAGAGAGTCTCCATGGTCGTGGATTCCTCCCCTTCTTCCAGTGCAGCTTGAAAGCTCTTCAACGCCCTAACGTATAATCGAGCTACTGAAGTTCCTCCATCCATTGCTCCATTTGAACAAATATTCCATTTCAGTCCCTCGACAACACAGCCTGCTGCATATCTCAGGCTTTAGACCTTCCCGTAGCAGCTAGGAATGAAAGCTAGCCAAGACGAAGGTCCGGGCGGGAGAGGAAAGACCCGGGTGGGTTCAACGCCCTCTATGGCAAAGTGTGATATTTTGGCGATGCCCAGATGGAGGCTCTTGAGTGGGCAGAGGTTGAGGATCGAGAAGCCCGAAGAGATGCCCAGACGTGAGTAGTCGTTCTGTACGAGGCTGGCAGGAGCTAGAGAGCACTGCCGTCCAGACATGATGCACTTTGGTGATTGACATTCCGTACAGACGTAGTCTAGCCCTTGCGCCATATTTGTTGAGTCTAGGTGTCGAAGAACCGAACCATGAATTTCAGCTTCATCCGGGCCGGCAGGCGAAGCGCAATGTGTGAAAATTGGCAGTTGCCTAAGATTGTGTTTTCCACAGTTGCCCCTTCGCCTTCTCGCAACAGCTACATCTTTCATAGCTTGTTTGGGGATCAGCGTTCGTATATTTTTGTTTTGTGGAACCTTGGAAGTACTGGAATTCACAAACTCGAATTGCTTGTGTGGAATTCTGGGCGATGCAGGATGGGGGAGCAATAAACTCCTTCGATCTAGAATTCTAGGCGATTTCAGTGGCTGCCGTGACAGAAGAACCTTCCCGGAATGAGCTTCGCGTTCATAGCAGAAAACGAAGTGATTTAACGGAACTACCCAATAAAAAGCTGTTTGTGGAATATCCAACATCTTGACTTTCAATTGCCGGAATCTTTCCAGGACTCTAACTCTGACAAACTCGAGCTTCCCGATCAGTAATCATGCAACTCTTACTGTTCCCGTCGTACTCGTGCATCGAACCTGAATGTGATACTGCCACAACCCCACTGAACCATACCATAAGACAGAGCTGAATGAGTGACCTTAACACATCCAAGGTGAGAAAGAGAAGAATCCCGTGAAAGGAGGCTGGTATCCTCCTCCATCGAATCCTCCCCTGCTATTTGATCTCGCATTCCAAAGTTGATGTCACCAATCGCATATTTCGCAAACGGCGGCTTCTCCCGTAACGGCCACACTGGGCGGATAAGGCCACATCGTAAAGGGAGATCCGGCTGCGCGGAGTGTAAGGCGCGGAAGATCAAGGTAGGGAAGAGAGCCCCGCCCGTCGAATCTCAGCCGGGGCTGACATTTTTTGCAAGTGTAGCGAAGGACGGCCACAATGTTCTCTGTACAAGAGATATTCTACATCACGCGTATACCGAGTCTCGGGAACAGCTCCAGGCTCTTTATTCCATGCTAAACCGTTGTCACACTGCGCGGATTTGCAGCTAGAAGAGCTAGAGTTGCTCCACCGCTGGACTATGTTTACAAGTCATGGTTTTGGCGACAAGCCAATAGATATCAAGGCATGGCTGTTCGAGATTCCTCAGATTGCCTGCAAGTAACCGTTATTGATGCATGGGATCTTGGCCATTTCCGCCCTGCACAAGTCACGAACCGAGCCGGAGACCAGTCAGAAGTACCTGGTTCGCGGGGTCCGTCACCAAAACATCGCGCTTTCCTTCTACCGCAATATTATTGATGATTTCAGAAAGAAGATGATGGAAGAAAACTGTCACGCCGTGATGGCCTTTGCCAGCCTGACCATTGCGTTCGCCTTTGCCGACGTCGACACAGTCCTTGCACGCGCGTCTGGCGTAGCAGCACGATCCACCGTTCCAGAATGGATCCATCTCCTCCGTGGTTGTCGCAAGGTTCTCCAAGTCATCAAGTCCTGGATCATCAAGGGCCCTATGGCCTTCCACCTCCAACAGGCAGAAAGCGACATCGATCTCTCTCGCAACCCTGACGATGCGAGGCTCGCTGGCCTCGAGGTCCTTTTCGAGGGGCAAGACTCATCCCGGCAGCTTCCGGATAGCGAAAGAGACGTCTATCGCACAACCCTAAGACTTCTGCGCCAAAGTTTTGAGATATCTCTATCACCGGACCAACCTTTGGGGATCAAGTTCTCCTTGTTCTTGTGGACTGAACGCTTCCCGCAGGAATATCTCGAGCTCCTGGACCGGCGGAAACCTGAGGCAGCTATTCTCCTGGCCCATTTCTGCATTCCGCTGGAACGAGGCGCTGCCTCTTGTTAGTGCACGGTGGGCGCCGGGGGCAGCTGGTCACAGCTCTGTACAATGCAATAGGCGACAATTGGAGGGTTGTGGATGGCCTGGCCACTTCAGCAGATCAAACCCGGCTAATCAGTGGATTATGGGAAACAAATTGATCTCACATACCTACTTGCACGGTACCCGGGTCATCCACAGAGTTTTGGCCTTCAACTTGAAGTCTTTTACCCAAGACTCGCGTCATCGAGAACTGGATAGGCTGTGTTTGGGGTATATTTATGGAGTCTGACTGGGATTGCCAGATTTGTAAATATTCTTTTGACACGAATCGCGAAGCAGAAAGCTTATTATGAGATGCGAAACGCGAAATGCGGAGCACGGGGAAGGGACTGAGCAGTGTAACAGCAATACGTATCGATAATGAAATGACATCGCTTCCCAATAAGACTAGCGGAAATAGGGGTTGATAGACGAGGCCCTTCTCCATGCAGCAGGGGGCTGGGCGAAGAAGGAATAGTACGGACTTATTTACGACTACTGGTACTACTTCGCTATGGACAACTGTTAGCGCCCTGGAGAGAAAATTCGGCTAAGGAAATGCCACACACAACCGTTTTTCTCGCTTATGCTCATCATGATGTCTAGTTCGGTATTGTTTAAAAGTGCACTCATGGCACGTGGAATGGCCAGCACCTCTTTGAGATGTCCTCTGCCTAACTAATCTCCGCGTTCTCCACCTCGGGTCGTCAGCACGTAATAGACGCTGCCATTTCCCTTCCCCCTGGGATAATTGGTCCTCACCAGGCTGAAGACGGACATCTGCGTCGCTTGTCTTATTTCCGTCACTGGGTAAGGCGGGAAGGGGCCTTGGTTGTTCACTGTGTACTCGTATGTAGATGGTCAACTGCGTTGGGCATGTAGATAGGATATAATCAGCCCCACTACATCGAACATGACCAGGGAACCGATATACGCATCCGGTTAGTCTGGTACGCTTTGCTCCTTCCAGCCTATCAATCCATCATCTCTGATTAGACCTCTCCCTCATCAGGAAATCTTGTAACTCTGGAGTGCAATTGTTCAATGTTTGTACCTTTCCAAGGCCACGCAAATTGCACTTATCCTCTACCAGGCGGGGCCATGCTAGACACAGGATCCAGTTCCAGCTACCAGACATAGGAACGACCGGGTTAGAACGCAAGGAAGGATTGGTGCCGTTGGTGAGAACGATGGGCACGAGTTGTCCAGGTCGAGGAGTAACAATGACTGAAGTTTCATAAAGATGTTCTCGCACCAGAGTTTTGGGACCCTCTTTGGTTCAGTCTCTGAGGCCATTATCAGCGTATTGCTGAGTAAATATCTCCCTGCAACAAGTCTTACTGCGCTCACCAGTGTGCACCATGGCATATCCGACAATTGCGGAGCTCATAGAGCGCAGCAAGTGAGTATACCCTTCCTATTTCGCCATCCAACACATTAACCAGAGCACCGGGAAACCGCCAAAACTCACAAGCCTGTAATGTCTGGCAACGAGCGACGAGCCAAAGGTATTAAGATGAGCGCGATACCTGTTGGTATGTTGCGTCGTTGCTGGAAGCATCATCTCCTCATCCACTCCCTTTACCGCTGAGGAGGAGGTGAAAAGGCAGTTACTAATACGCCCTGTCAGTGGCATGCGTCGACCCTCGCTCCACCCCAGAACACATCTTCGACCTCAAGCCTGCAGGTGAGAGGTTCTAAGCATTTACGCTGGCTTCTGATCAACGGGAATGGTGTGGCATTCAAGCTTACTGCCGTCGCGCCGTGGTACCGGGGTCCAACAGAAGTCATAGTACACCGAAGCGCGGCGGGAAACGGGCGCGGCGCAATTGCAGACATCTGCGCTTTGGACATGCTTGCCGGGCTGGAAGAGATCATGGTGATCCATCACACCGACTGTGGCTGTCTCCAGTACACAAGCGATAGCATGTGCTAGGAGATCAATGCTCGCATCGGACCCGAAAATGCGAGCGTGATCAACGAGATGGACTTTGGACCGATTTCAGAGTAGGCCTTATTGTAAACCTCTTGGCTGAGCGTAGCACGCTGATCGCTTGCTGGGAAATAGTGTCGAACAAAACACAAAGGACGATATTGAGTGGTTGAAACAATCGCCACTCGTGCAAAAGGAGCTCGCGGACAAAGCACAAGGATATGTGTATGATGTAGTGACGGGCGGATTACGTCGTGTAGCATGAGTCAGAGGAGATTCTAGGACTTCAAGATAAAATACTAGGAGGCTGACATAGAGCTGAAAGTATTCTCTAGTGCGATCAAATGATATTAATATATATAGGGTATTCAACATCGTCCAGAAATAATATCCACCTATAATGCATTGCCGACTTCCGTCATCGTGACTACGCATCGAATTCTTCATCTCTGGAGAAGGGCCGGCATATCAGACCACCAATGTCCGCGTACGGCCTGAGCGTCCCTTCATCAAGTTGGAAGCTTACCGCTCTCCAGTCCCGAGTTAAAGAGAACTGACTTCTCTCAATGCACGTCCAAACAATTTATCTGGTATAAATCACGGAGACTTCCTTTTCCCACCTCTTTCCATCACAGACATGGGAACATCACTGAAAGATATCGGAGACCCCTGGGGTGGTTATTGAGATTTATCCGAACGACCCCCTGCGTGTTCTTTGTTGCCTGAGGACTGCTTCAGCTCCTCGGATTGGCGTCGCAATTCTTGGGATAGCTCCCTCGCAAGCTCGATATTCTCTTCTAGAGTGTGATGGCGAATGGGGACGTCCTCGTCGTCCTCGGCGTCAAGAGCATCCTCATCCCGCGGGTTCCGCCCAAGGCTCTCTTCCAGAGTGTGGTGGAGACGGCCCTCTCGATTCTCGCTCGATGGTGGAGTTTCTTCTTCATCTCCAAATGGGTCGGAGGGTGTTGATGAGTGTCGTCGATTGGAGGGACGGGCTGGACCTTTGCCTTTGAACACAGAGAGAAATTTCCCCCACATTACTGTAGTCGCTTTAAAACATTCGCTGATACGAGTTTTATTTTCTTTTTGTCAATGTGACAAGATTAGAGATTCGGCTTGGAGAACCATGTCGCTTTATACACAACTTCTTGACATAGGAAATGTTGCCTACGACCTGGGAATGAATGACTGATCATGAGACGTGGATTGGTACATACCCTGTAGTCTTACAGTGTGAAGGAAAATATTCTCGACGTTAGACCCAGCTCGTAAAAGTTCTATGTTCCATCACGCCACTTGTCACATGGTAGAGCACGTGCAGTAGGAGCCTGGTGATGGTAGAGCGGCAAAGCGGTAGAGGGGCAACTGTAAACAAGTAGGTCACACCTTGGAAGATTTAATAGGCGTTTCTCCTATGCTTTCAACAATATACAGATTGAAGACAGTCCATACTGAAGGGCGGAAGTACGGATGCGCTAAAAACACGATAACGGCATGACTGATTACGTTGTCAGACACTTTGCATACCACCTTTGATGTCGTTGAAATTTCTCGCATAGGCCTTGCTCGCGCGTCAACCCCGCGGATACCATGGCTCCTGGCTGCCTAACAAAATTGATATACAAGCAGAGTTGGGCATAGAACTTGCCTATTCACCCTAGTCCTGCAAGGACTGTTTTGATATTGGCGCAGGGTCTCGCGGATGCCCTTTTCTTTTATGCTGCCCCTTTTTGCTGTATTCTAGACGTTGCCGGGCATATCATAGATGCAGCCCTCCCTGTGAAGTCTCTTGGAGAAATACAATGCTAATACATAGATCGAATTCAATCCCACGGGGATACAAGTCTATTTCACAACAGATTCTCCCCAGGAAGGAGTGAAAAAGCCAGTTCCAAGCCCAATGGCAGCAAGGAGGCAGGAAATCCGTATCAGTGGTGATAGGGATAGTCAAGAGCCGGGAGATGCAGGGCATTTGACGTCGATTCAAGTCATGGTTCAGGTCAATGGGCAGGATGTTCAGGTGTGGAAACGGAAATGGATGTCAGAGAGTTCAACATTCGCCGCTGAGGATTGTGGTATTCGACAGGCATGTCTGCAATCTCCTGAGGTTTTCGAAAGGACGTAGACTTGGACATATTGATGTAAGGGAAAATTGGTTGCGGTAGCCATCCCGGTCAACGAATGATCATGAGCTAATTAGAGTTTCATAATTACCCTCCATTGTTCTGATGCGTCTCCTACTCGAAGAAGAGGTCCCTTTCAAGATCAAAGTTGAAAAGATATTCCACGTCAACCGAAGGATCGATCCAGATATTTGCTGCTGAACTGTCTTGCCCGTTTTGCTCTGATATGTCTTCAGCGTGGGGAAGCGCATTGCAAATGGTCTGGGCAGTTCCGGACTGCTTCATTATTTCCAGCGACCTGTTCTCGCGCACAGCTCTGATAGCACCTTCCACGATCTTTGCAACTTCGCCCGCGGTGTAGTGGATATTTTTGACTTCACGCAAAACAATCAAGCAAGCATCGAGTTGCTGCAGACTCCTGGCGCGTATTGCTTCGCTTGTCGACCGGGCGTCCAGCAGATGGACACTGACCGCCGCACAGACCGTCGCGACTCCAAGGGCAGGAATTACACTTGTCAGACCAGCATCGTGGAGATCCTTGTGGATGCGAGTCATGTCATCGGCAGCTCTTCTCATCGCTCTCGCATGGGCTTGGTATCTGCAAAGCTCCTCGTCCAGATAAAGGTCGGGCGTCTCTTCCATACACTTTGTCCATTTCTTGATGGGAACTTCGGGCTTGTGCAGCATTATGGCAGCCATCAGGAAGGTCAACTTGACCATGGAAACGGTGAGGAGTACTCGTTTCGCGTCGAAATCATCTGAAAAACGCCACAGGTCAAAAGGCGCTTGATGTTTCCAGTCTTGCAATTCCGAGTCCATTTGCCATACTCTGGAATCTTGGGCTCCTGGAGTAATGTTTCGTCGATCAACAGTATGCAACAGGCGCAAAACCCGATGAATGATAAGACAAAGCTTTGCTTTCTCAATGCAGGCTGCTTCAAGCATATGTTGCGAAGATGCATCTCGGACGCTGCCACCAAAGTCCGCATGATCCAGCATGAGCTGATCCAGAGCCATTATGCGCGGTGGCTTTCCCATTGAAAGGCAGACGTCGGCTTCTTTC